ATGATGTGCATCTGTTTGTGCTTATACTTGTTCATTGAGAACGATAGCTATTTCTTCGCTTATTGTAATCTCATTGATCATTAACATGGGGATCTCACTTTTTGCTTGACACTAATATCATTTTCACGATTCATTTCTAACGTGTTTATTAACAGGCCATAGCTTTATTGTATATATTTTATGTACAGCATCAGAGCTTTTTGTGGCACGGATGCAATAAGGAACTGTGTTCATGGTTCAGAGTCTCCTGAGTTTGCTGCTCGTGAAATTGAATTTTTCTTCGGAAAGGAATATGGTCAGTTTCTTTCTATTTCTTTTCTGTTTGATATAGCATTTTCGTTTACATTTTGGGGTCCATAATAGGTGACAAATTATATCATCATCATTAGAGCCTTATTCCAACTATTTGGGGTTGGCTACAAATTATATAAAATCATAAATTGAGTCATCAGATCATTGGGCTAATGTATCTTAATGGAAAGTTAAATTATTTGGAACAAATTGACTTTTGGTGGTGTTCAGATATATCTTTATTACACCCTCACAAAACTAATGTTTGGGTGGCTTTTAAACAGTCATTTCAAAATCTGAGGACAATCAGGATGCAGCCACTGCTTCATCAGGATGTAAGTTCCTAACAATTTTCAAATCTCTCTCTCTCTTTCTCTCTCATTTGCCAAATGCAAATGCCCAACACACAAAAATGAATCCCTTTGTTATTTATCACTGTTCCATTTTGCCATATGCACATGCCCAACACACAAAAATGAATCCCTTTGTTATTTATCACTGTTCTTCATACAGTGGCACCTTTTGACCGGTTTCTAGTTGTAAATTGAAACATTGTCTCAATTATATTGATGTGTCAAGAACATAAAGTTTGAGTGACTTACTGTTAAACTATTGAAACCCCAGCATGCACTTGGCATCCCCAACTGTAAAGGAACATGTTTCAGCTTGTTAGGTGCTTTCTAGTTAGGCTGAGGTTTGTATAAGGCCTAGGCTTTAGGAAGACAAAATAAAGCCTCATCTCAAATCCTTGTCCGGAAAGCACTTTTGGCAAAAGAACATGATGGCTCTAAAATCAATTTCCAACACCAACAATAAACTTTGAAACTAAAAAAATCATCTATGAACCCATATTTTTCGGGTGAAATGGACGGTCTAGATAATTTGTTACAATATACATTATTTTTAGAGCTTGAAATCCTTTTTTTTTTTTTCACAACCATAACGTTCAAGTCGAGATGATTGATGTAAAGGTTTTCCAATTCTTTTTGGATGAGTTATGAGCCGAGGCTTTACTTACTTTGATAGGGCTACGGCCCTATCAAACTATTTCCATCTAGTTATTCTAAAAACAACTATCAATAATGGGCAACAACAGGTTCAGCATTATCATAAGTTACATATAGTCAAACCAACTTTGAAAATTATGGAAATGGAAATGGATTCAGAACTCAAAACCAAGCGCGTGAGAATGAAAAATAAACTTGTTGAGGTCCAGAGCCACCTGAACATTTATGCCACCTCATTATGTTTTTTTTCCTTGTGAATTTAGCTTTCTTTTGACATTATTATTGACACTTGTAGATGTACTCTTTATTGTTCAGGGGGAAGTGATTCTGATCATTTTGAGCTCTAACTGATAAAGTTGAGGTAAATGTTGATCATGAATTTCTGTAATTTAACTCTCTTTACTCAAGGTAACCCCCCTTTAACTTCTAGATCCTTGTCTTTCACAGCTCACATATGGCATGTGTATTATTCTCTATATAGGCATTTCTAGGGAACTTTCAAACCTTAGGCCTGAACTTGAAGAACCAATCCAGTGATTCTTATCCAAATTTCCTGAATTACTCTTTTAAAATTTGGAAAAATGAATTTTTTTTTAAGATTAGGAGGAACTATATAGAAAGCGATAATATGGTTCAACAACTCATTGGGGGAGAGGCGGGTGATTCCCCAGGTTCCTTTCTATTTCTCAAATAGTTTTCAAAATTTGAATCGTTATTTGTTTATTTAATGTTATAGATCTAAAAAAGTATATATCAAGTTTTACGACAAAAAAGAACACTGGCATACTATGATGCGCAAAAGCATATGAGGGACATGAACGAACAAACATAAAAACTTAACTCAGTTTGTTGTATGTACTCTTATGTTACAAAAACACGGATGTTAATGTCTTTGCGACATGAATATGAGTGTGAAAAATGCCAACCTTAAATATGTCTTTTCAGACGTGACCCATCTCTATACTATTTAAAGAAGGGAGGACATCTGATTTTGGGTGATATTAAGAACGTTTTATGGATAATTTTAAGAAGAAAAGTTAATACGAAATGTCCAGGTTTCCAAATTGTTAAACATGGGTACTGTGGCCTTGGTATGTCTACATGTGCAAAAACCCAGAGAGATGCGTGTTCATGTTAAATAGGTGTACACCATCAGGAAGATTCAAGTACTCTTCCCTTCTTTTTTTCTTCATGTTTATGCTATGCTTTTTTTTGTTGCAGAGGCTTCTGCTTCGCTGGGGGTTGTAAATTTGTGGCTTTGCTGCATAGTGAAACTGTCTCTATGTTGTGAATATATACTCATTCTTCTTACCTTTACATTGTATACCACGATTGTGACTCCAAAGTAGACTCAGTGAGCATCTCATTGGGAAACAATAATTGACGATGAGGTGAGAAGTAGGAACAAAAGGACCTGATTTGATGCATGAGCTCAAGCAGGTCTAGCCAATTTAGGCCGAAATTTGGCCCTTTTATGAGCATTCTATGTTTGTTGCTTGCAGAATAACCAAAATACCAGTTGTTTTTTCAAATTGTTTCTATCAAACCAGGTGATGCCTCACACTCTCTCTCCCCCCCTTTTTGTCTCTCCTTTTCCCCCTTTCTCTCACTCACTCGTACACACGCACATGCTTGGTATTTTGATAGGATCAGTGATATCATTGAACGATTTGGCAGCATTAATGCTATCATTGATCTTCAACACCATATTAAGAAATCTTTTGAAGGAATAAAAAGGTGTTAAGTGCTCTGTTATTGTTTATTTCAATGTTTTGGTATCCTACATTTCTATTGCACCTATTATCTTTGGGATTAATATCTTTCGGATTGAGTCCTCAATTCCTCATAGAGTAAAAATGGATTTTATACATTGACAATATTGAGTGTGCATTGGGTGTGTATCGTATGCTTTTATAATAAAGTACTGTTAGGATTTCTCTCTCTCTCTCTCTCTCACGTATACACACGTGCATAGTATTCATGGTGGCATGGGCTTCTGCATTTTTATTTTATATTTTGTGATGCCCTTTTTATAACAAACTCCTTTTTAAGTCCTTTCGTTTTGATTTTGAAGGTACAATTGCCTTAGTCCTTCAGGTTTCAAACCGAACTACGACCGGGTTTTGGCAGCGTTCATTTACCTAACCTTTATTTTGTGCTTTTAGCTCTAGGAGAGCGTTATAATTGTGAACAAATTGCCTGTATATTCTATATTGCAAATATTATTTAACTACATATGCAATCGGTAAAGAAAAGAAATTTTTTGAGTCAAATGACAAAGTGGTGTTTTGTAGGTGCTGCTCTAGTTGTTTCAAAATGCCAAAAGAAAATGACTTCTTTAGAGTTTCACACTAAGCTTTTTATTTTAGGAGTCACAGAGGGGCATATTAAAGCTTAATAGAACACTTCTATTTTGAGGATTGCATGTAGCCATACCTATCAAAAGTATGCAATACAAGCTTTAAATTGTCTGATTTGATCGTTTACCTACACAAACCCATACCGCCAATGGTGAATTTGGAAAGGGAAATGTGCAAATATGATGACATGACTAGTTTTGTTAAATATTCCCTATAGAATGTGTTCTTTGCATTACTGATTAAAAAATTGGACTTGGGCTCAGACTTATTAGGGATCTGATCTTGAGTTGCCCTTGATCCGACGCAGGTGAGTTTGAGTCGGATTAGGTAATCTTTTATATGAAAATTTAAGTATCTACGAAAATATCGGGTACTAGGGAGGTTTTGCGCTGCCGATTTCCATTTGGCAACTATGTATAGATACAAATCTTATACGGCAAGAGTTGCTGTGTATTGAATGCTGGTATGTGAGATATTTTTATCATCACTCTCAGCAAATTATATGGGATTTTTATCAAGTAGAAGTCTTTTGTAACGGACTATTTTCGCTAGAGCATAATACTATGCTCCCTAAGGAGCATGTTATGTGTCTACTCCCTCACCCAAAACACCTACTTTGGAAAAATAAACCTAATGCCACAAGATTGAAAAGAGACCTTGAAATTTTTGAAGGTTAGATCTAAGTGTCATAAAATTCAAATTTTAAATTTTTTCTTTTGAAAATAATCATCTATCAATTCTTGTAGTTCCCAAAATATGAGATTAAAATTTCTTAGTATATAGAGAGTACATTTTAGAACTTCTTTTTACTGGAATTATTCTACCAGTTGTAGAGATTACATCCCTAAATTTTGAAATCTAAAAAGTATCCGTGTCTTGCTCGAGGGCAAATATAGACAATATACACCTGTGGGAGTAGGAAATCTTTTGGCTTTTCTCAAAAAGGATGCCATGCGCTCTCATATTCACCAATAGAAGGGGCATTACAGAAAGGACATCTGCTTTCCTTTTTCTTCCTCACATTGAAATTTTGGTATTTTCTCCAACCCAAAATGATCTTCGCATTCTCTAGAGATCTTTGAAGATTGAACGTGTGGATTTGTCCCTTCCTCTCCAATTAGAGAGAGAAAATGGGAACAAGTGCCATTATCATGGTGAGATCATTTTGAGATGAGAGTGCCATTTGTCACCACCCCAGGAGAAAGCTTAGACCAATGCAAAAGCACACATGAAGCTATAAAACCATTCCTTAATCCCTGCATTGAAGGCATGGTTAACCCAACTTTTGGACGTCAAAACTTCCTAATTTTGGAATGATATTTTGATCCAGATCCAAAATTTCCTTATAAGGGATACTGAGGTTTATGGCTTTTATCAAGAAACCTTTTTTTCTTTCTAATTTATTCATCTTTTATGAAGCCTTGGGCCCTTAAGCCAAAAAGAAAAGTGTGGAGAAGAGGGGGGTCACATGGCTTGGTGGTCAACTAATAGCATAAAGTGTGTTGATTTCAGTGCTATCTTTAACCCTATTATTCTTGCAAACCTTCTTTCCTAGCGTTAGATAGTATCTAGGGATGTGAAGAAGAAGAGGACTCCTAGGGAACTCCATGCAAGCTAGCTAGGACCTTTGAAAAGTCTCCGATATACTATACCATAAAATTCTTTTGTCTTGCATCTCGAGGATGTAGGATGTCATCTAGAGAGAGAGAGAGAGAGACCTACGCAAGCACTTGCCTTTGTGACCACCGAAATCTAAATATTTTTGTTAATTTGGTAGGGTCTTGGATGCTATTTCCTCTTGCATCTCGAGGATATAAAGCTGTAGGAATGTCCACACGCACACATACATATGAGAGAGAGAGAGAGAGGGGGATTTTAGGAATTGCATTAAGAAGTACTTTCCGAATAATTTTTCACCCAAAAAAAACTTTAGGGTAACTGCAAGGAGGAAATAAATAACTTTAGGTGGTTATTATGGTGGTATTTCTTGGATGGCAATGGATAACTGTAGCTACGTAGAGAGGGAGAGAGTTTTTTGATTTTCGGGTGATCCTTGAACACACCATCTCTAGATTTCTCGTTGAACTCCCATCAAAATTTAATTTTACTGTATCTTGAGGGAAAAAAATCCGTTTGTAACCCACTACATGAGAAACCACACCCAACTGGACAACACGGTCCATGTTTAACATGAGTAGCTATTGAAATACCAGGGCAATCCTTGTTAGGAACCAACTAATTGAATAAAGTGTTTGAGATTATACTAACAATACACTCCACACCTAAGTTTTGCTTTTCAAATACTATTCTATTTCTCTCTTTTCCATATTTCCCATAGAACAGGGACCCTTAAACCTGTTAATATAATCTTACCATTCTTCGATGATGTAGGAAAGTTAAGGTGATCTGCAATATCTTGGTGTCTACCTGGTTGCAAATACATTAGGTTTAGGTTGGGTCGATTGTGATTAGGACCTGATGTAGTAGGGTCTAGACCTAACTAAAATCGATAGTTTGGCCCAAACCTAGAATGCTCATGTTCACATACACCAGGGTAAATCCTTATATGGGCAAGCCAAGCTGGAGTTGAACGCTTAGTATTAGATTGGGCTGCCAATGGGTTGGGGGCCAGGTTGACCCGGTCCCTACAAATTATGGCATGGGTCACAAAATGTAACCCAAGGGAAAGGTCAGGTATGGCATGGCCCAACACCACGACAATATTGGCCTAGCCAAACCTTTTTTTATCCCTCATCTTACCTTAGCTAGCCGAGCAGGGTCTGAGCTAGCTGGGCCAGCTTTACAAGGACTAGGACTGAGCTTAAGTGAGGCTAACCCGCCTTAGGCCGTGGTAGAATTTTTTTCTTTTTATATTTTTTTTTTTTTGAATAATTCAATGGAGAAGACATAATACCCCAATCTCTTTTTTCGTATACATTAGATAGTTAACGTTTTTAGTGCTACACCACGACATATGCCCGTGACGATTATCATTCTGGGTCAGGACCCAAACTCAAACCTATGTCGAGTCCATGGAAACTTAGATCGAGTCCATGGAGTGCCCTGTGAGGAGATAGATTTGAGGCTGCTTGACATGTGGGGCCGTCCACTTGTGCTGATGTGGAGGAGGTTCCACATGGGCGGACATTTTCACATGCATGGGATGCGTTAAAAGGGCTGACGGCTGACCAATGATATGAAATTCGGGGATTTGCCTAAGCAGCCTTATTTCAACTTAAATTACAAAAAACTCGTAAAAACGAAAATTATTCAACTTTGGATATTCTATACTAGAGAGAGAAAAAGAGAGAGAGAGAAGGCGTGGGGTTCCATATTCTAAGAAAACCCGTCGATCATCTAATGGATCTCCCACAGGTTGTCTTGTACGGCGATTGTTGGAGTTTGTGAAGGGCGTGATTTGCCAAGAATCTATCTAATGCGCTACAAAACACGAGAGCTGCCCTCCCTCTCACCCATAGCCTACACCCATAGCCTACGGCTGCCCATGGGCTTGGCCCAGCCCACCCCCATTCTCACCCCTCCCCTAGCTAAGTAAAATTTTACCTACGTATTTTAAAATTTTAGGTAAAATACCAAAAGGTGAAAATTGCGCAACCAATCTTTTTTTTTTTTTTTTCTTTCAAAATTACTTATTGGTCAGCTCGAATTTTGATTTTTTTGATTTTTTATTTTTTATTAGTAAGGCAATATCTTAAACCTTGGTGCACTGCATTACTAACAAAAAAAACAAAAAATCAAAATAAAAAGACAAAAAAAAGCAAAATTCAAATTGACCAAGGCAATTTAGAAAACAATTAAAAAAAATTGGTTGACCCAACTTCTTTTGTAATCTTTGCTCGTAAGAGAAGTATTTTGTATTTTACTTAAAATTTTAAAATCCCTACATAAATCACTCTAAAATTGAGAAAACAAATTAAAAAGAAAAAAAAAGAAGAAGTAAGGGTTGGGCTGCGCCAGGTCAAGCCAAATTGATTTGAGCCTCTGTACCTTAGTCCAAACCCACCCTCGAGCCGCACTTTGTGGCTTAAACCCTAACCGTTTAGTGCCGGGCCGGGCAAGGCAGCCAATTGCCACCCTCCATAACCATGGGCAGCTGCCCCCGGTGACTGCCCGTTGCTCGCTTTGTGATTTAGGGAGAGAGAGGGTGTTTGATTATGGAGAGAGAGACGTGGAATATTTGGTTTCAGTGGGGGGGCGGTCGGTCCGGTCGGCGAGGGACATGGTCACGCGAGGGTGGGTGGATGGTGAGTTCGCCCATTCCCGTAGGGCCCCCCCTTCAACGCCACGCAACCAACCTTGGTTAAGGACTTATCCCATTCCCTTACTCTCTCTCTCTCTCTCTCTCTCTCTGCCTTCGTTTCTCTCTCGGGTGTATCCTTATTTCTCTTTCGACCTTTTTTTTTTCCTTGAGTGAATTACGTACGAAAAAAAATATAATTAAAA